TCTGATGTATTTCTTCCAGCCATACTGCAGGAGGAAAAGCAGAATCAGCTCAGGCTCTGCTTACTCTCCTGCCACAACCAGAGAGTTTCATCAGATTGATTCACCCTTCAGTTGACAACTCAAGCAAGAATTCAAGGTCCATCCATAGTCCCAGGGAGGTGGTGAAAGCGAGGCAGGGAAGGAGCCACGGCACAGAGGGAGATAGGAAAGCCAAATTAACAATGCCCATCCTAGTGTGTTCCAAAGAAGTCACTGGAAAGACAACCACAGCACTATGGCCTGTAGTGATGACAATAACTGACAATTCCTGCTGCCACCTCATGCTTCACCTCCCATATTCTCTCTGTAATGGGATCACTTTCCTTTTGCATTCCCCCAAGCTATAACGAACTCACACCTCTCTCTGGAGTGCTTGCTGATACTCGTTGTAACAACATCAGGCTGATGACCAAAGGGAACAGGATCACTGCTTGGGTGATGTCCCACACAAAGTCACAGGATCCCCCGAGCTCAGGCTTAGCCCCTGGGCACCCCTCCAAAGGTGAGTTACAGAACCATGAGCCCCTTCCAAACACTGTCTGGAGATGGAGGCTGTGTTGGTTTTGCCTTTCTGCATCTGTTCAGAACACCACAGTCATGATGTTTAATAACTAAGTAACAAACATCAGCAGCATGTCAACATGTCCTTCGAAATAAGGCTCAAAAGGAGGAGGTCAACAGCAGCCCACCACATCTGCATGTGTGGCATTCCTTTCCCAATCTGTGTCTTCCCACTGGCATGAGGGGAGGAAGCAGAGCTCAAAATGAACATAACTTTGTGTGATGGATTTAGTATGTTGGAATACAAGTGACAACTGCTCTGCTGTTCACTGCGGGAAAACACAAGAGCATCAGCACAGAGATGGGTTGTTTGTGAGGAGGTGGGCTGACGTGGAGAGATACAGAGAAGGAAAAGTGTACGAAGTAACCTGACAGGGTCTGTGTCAACCATCCCTCAAAGGGTTTCATAGTGACTGTGCTCAGTTAACAGGGAAAAGATGTTCGTTTGTTTGGTGGGTGCTGTTGGGTTTGTATCTACTAGCCTGGAACAGGAGATGAATGACCTCCCAGTAGAAAGAAGGAAACATTTCTGTACCAATGTTCCTTCTCCCCATGTACCTTCACAGTGTGCTATATACAGCTATTTTGTGTGTGATATGTATGAAATACATAATATTACAGCTTGGTTTATGAAGCTGCTTTTTATGGCTCCCAGATCTTCAGCAAATGTACAAATAAATATGAAAGAGAGAGGGAATATGATGCACATACACAAAGCAAAGCAAATACCAAAATGAGATAGCAGCAGTCTGCTAACTGGATGGCGAGAGCCAAACTCATCAGCATCCAGTTATTTCACAAACCCTTGCCAATAGACTAAATAGAATTCCATAGGCCAGGTGTCAGTGATTATAATCCCACTGATGCCAAGAGAGTTGCTCCCATTTACAGCAAGCCTGGCTTTGGCGCTGTCTCTGTAGTACAAGGAATAATTCATGAAGCATAAGCTTGCAAAAGCAGCCACACCAAGTGTACCTGCAACTCCCTTAGCTGCAGTGGAAGGACCCAGCACAGGGCAGCTCTCAGCTGCCTGTGTTCCTTTGTTATACCCTAGAAACCTCACCGAGCTTAAACCAACCACAAACACCAGCCCTGCTCCCACGTGGAGTGCTGGGAAAAGAAGAACCTGCATAAATACCTGATCATGACATTTCAAGGGCAGTTCTGCCACAGAAAACAAGTGATTTATCCTAGAATCCCAGCCTGGTTTGGGTTGGAAGGGACCTTAAAGCTCCTCCAGCTCCAACCCCTGCCACAGGCAGGGACCCCTTCCACTGGAGCAGCTTGCTCCAAGCCCCTGTGTCCAACCTGGCCTTGAACACTGCCAGGGATGGGGCAGCCACAGCTTCTCTGGGCACCCTGTGCCAGCGCCTCAGCACCCTCACAGGGAAGAGCTTCTGCCTAAGAGCTCATCTCAGTCTCCCCTCGGGCAGGTTAAAGCCATTCCCCTTGGCCTGTCCCTATATCCCTTATATCCCAAAGCCCCTCTCCAGCTTTCTTGCAGCCCCTTCAGGCACTGGAGCTGCTCTCAGGTCTCCCCTTCAGGAGCCTTCTCTTCTCCAGGCTGCCCCAGCCCAGCTCTCTCAGCCTGGCTCCAGAGCAGAGCTGCTCCAGTCCTCACAGCATCTTTGTTCATGAATGAGATTAGCTGGATACCTCTAACCCCCAGATCACCCCTGTGAATGCACTAGGCATGCTCACACATTCTCAGGCCCCACTCAGGAGCCACTCATTACCACCCAACTGCCAGCAACAGAGTATGCTCAGGCATCCTTCCCAGGTTAAAATGGAGCTAAGCCAGTAACTCTCCTCTGAAAGACACCATTTTGGACACCTTGGCTGCTTTCAGAATGTGTGGGGTAGACATGTGAAAGCAGGCAATCATTTGAAAAACATCACTGAGAAAAGGAAAATCAATAAAGTCGTAACCAGTGAGTCCTGAAAGCCCTCCTGCCTGCCCTCATGTTAGCAACCAGACCCTCTTCTCCCCCATTCATGGTCTTTGTTAGGGGGAGAAACGCACTGAGCCCAGTGACTGACAAGTCAGACCACAGGAGGATGGGCCTGAGCCAGGACCCACTTTAGAAAATAACACTTTTCCTATTTCCTACAAGCATGTACTTCTGTGTAAATGAGTAAATAATGACATGTTCCATCTTCTTTTTCCCCCTAAATATAAAAGCTCTCCACTGCTGAAGCCACTACAAGGATTATTTCTTCTCACCATTTTTAAGTACTGTACAGTGCATATCTATCCTTTTACAAGTGGAACCTTGTAGCTATGGAGACGAAGAATGTTACATCCATGCTGAAGATAGTCTTTCAGTGGGGGCCTTATGGTTGCTACATGTGCCTTCAATGATCTGCTGTGTTCTGTCGCCTGAAGTCTTCTGCAACAATCATACCAAGCCACTGCACAGTCACAGCGCACAGTCACAGCACTATCATGTGCAGTACAGCCTTCCTGATCTACAACCTAACCAAGGATCCCACAGACAACACAGTAAACAGCTCGAGTCGAGCTTAATGCCACCTGAACAGAGCAGTGGAATAAAGCTGCTCTGGAAAGCAGGCAGACTGGGGTCCCCTTGTGTTTAATGCTGGGTCTAACAGTCGACATGAAGAAACGATACCACACTGACCTTCTGTTATAGACCTTCTGCAGCTCTTCATCCATCTGCTGTAGCCCAAATTAGCCCAGTTTCAGTCACCCAAACGACATCACACATTCCCTGTCTCTGTGCGCAACACTCGCGATCTGAATTTCATTGCAGATGATGTTTTCATGAAATGGACTTTCAGTTCTGTGTGCGAATTCAGCTGTCTGCACATCACCTTGGTGTAAATTAAACAGCAGTTTAGTCAAGCTAATGAAACTTCAGCAGTGTTCAACCTGAGCATGAAGAGGAGACAGCCCTTCAGGTCAAATTAACGCTCCTTGTGACAGCCAGTGAAAATGCAAACTAACCCAGATAGCATCACTTACTTTGCTGCTAACAGAGGAAAAAAACCCACACCTTCGTTCACATGCTACTGGCAAACATGACAAGGGTCTGACAGGTCATTTTCTTTTCTGAAGGTAACAGAAAGTAATGCCAAAACACAGCATTTCTGTCTACCCTTTAGCTCCGTGGACCACAACTAGCTAGGGATTTCAGTGCCAAACAGGAAACGTCTTAAAGATGCCTGTCCTGGTTCTGGCATCTTATTGTCAGAATGGAAAACCATCCACTTTTAAAAGCTCAGGATCCAGAACTGCAGCCTGCCCAGCTCTGCTCATCTTTAACAGACCTTTCACACTACCTGGCTGTCAGAGACACGGGTCAGAATCTACCAGAGACAAACCCAGTGTGCATAAATGGATGTGAATACGTATCATTAAGCACTCTCAGGTAGGATGTCCACAACACGGAGGCACAATCAACCACAATCCCCTAATACCTCATGACATGCAGGAATAAGCAACAAGTACTGAGAAGCAGTTGTGCAAATCTTCCTTACCAGCTATATAAGCAAGCAATGGCATTCACAAGTAAAAACATCTCTTGCATACACATTAACAGAGTCATTGACAATAAAGCAATGAAAACCCACGGTATTCTCTTGTCAAAGCTCAAGAGGAGACAAAAGAAGCACTGAGAACTTCTCCTATTTGGATTTCCCATGCTGCTGACTCAAAATCATAACATGGCCTTAAGCGTGTGAAGCTATTAACTCCAGCAGAGCTCTTCCCAAGCTCAGCCTTCACTCATCACAAAAATGAAACTAAAAATAACAAGAATCCCCCTTTCCCGACCCAGATATTTGCAAATGTACTGTTTGCCTCGAGGCCTCGACAAGCTCCAGTTCAGCAGAGCGAGGAAGGCAGCAGGTATGCTCCTGCTCCTCCAGTAAACCAGTGCCTGGCTCTAAGGTTGCACTGCAGTCCTGCTGGCCCCACGTTTCCTCCTGAACCAGACAGAACAGGTAGAAAATCTTTGGTGTGCCTTTAACTAGGCCATAAGGTTCGAGGTGGGGTTTTGAGTAAAGAGGTTTTCAGATTCATCTTTGAAACAGAATCGGTTCTTAAACTCCTCTGTTTCTACCAACACATTAAAAATGGGACTTTTATGGCCCATTTGCTAATAAAATGGGTGCAAGAAGGAGAAAATAACACTTCAAATTCCTCTGTCATAGTTGTTTACTTCAACTTACTCTATTGATAAGTCTGAATTAGTCAATATCATCCCCATCCCTTCCCTGGCCATTGCTCTTTAATGAGATAACCTTTCACACCGAGCAAACCCAAAAGCACAAAATCTCATGAATCTTTCTAGTGTTTAGAGATACCTCAAGAGCTTCAAACATTTACCTCTCCTTCCCAGCAGCTGAAATGGGTTTAGGAGGATCATGGTTCATACCTCACATTCCCTGGAGCCAGAGATGGTATACGTGCAGGGCCCAGATCCATTAACCGATACATCCATGGTCTCAGAGTTTGTTGGCTTGTAGTCCACGTAATATTCCTGTAAAGGGGAGTTCATTTGCCTTTCAGACTCTCGGGCCTTTTTCCTGCGCCTCTTCATGAGCGTGTGCTGCTGGAGCTGTTTCATGCTGGCTGGATAACGCTTCCAGGACACGTAGATAACCAACAAAATCATGGCCACGGAAAGGAAGAGGGCTACGCTCCCAGCAATGATCTTGTGAAAGGAAACGTGCTCGTACTCCGGTTCCACTCCAGGTGTTGGGAGCTCTGCAGAAGGGCTTGGCACAATAGATGTTGGCTGGTTGCTTTCCAGTTTGGAAATGGTAGGTTTGGGAATGAAGAAAGGTCTCTGGGGGGTTTTGGGTGGCTGGTATGACCTTTCAGTAACCACCACCTGGATTTCAGCACAGATATTATATGTTTCCACAGCATCGCTCACTTTTTCGCCCTGGATGTGTTTAGGGCCTGCACATATCATAGTGCTTTCCTTATTTCCCTTGAAATTCTTAAGCCAAGTAAACAGAGGGCAAATGCTTCGAGTACATTCCCACATATTTCCGGACAGAGTGATGGAGATGAGCGAGATCCATGTATTGATGGTCTCCTGAGAGATGTTGGTGAGTTTGTTGGAATCCAGGTTCAGCTTTTGCAGGTTGGGGAGGCACTGGAAGGTCCCGGGCTCTACCCCTGTAATGTCATTTCCTGATAAATCCAAGTTGTGCAAGGAACTCCAAGTCCACGTTAACCCTTGGCTAATAGAGCGGATCCGATTCCACTGCAAATAAATGGAGCGGAGGTTGAAGAGGCGCGGGAAGTGGGCAAAATTGATCTTAGAAAACTGGTTGTGCTCCAAGTGGAGCTCTGTCAACTTCAAAAGGCCAGCGAAAGCGTTACGGGATAAGCTCCGCAGGCGGTTGTAGCCCAAATCCAGGAAGTCCAGGTTCCGGCAGTCCTGGAACACTCGGATGGGAACGGTTTTCAGCGAGTTGGACCGCAAATGCAGGATCAGGAGTTTCCGGAGGCCCTTGAACTGCTCAGACTGCAGCACCTGCAACTTGTTGTAGGACAGGTCCAGGTTGCGGAGGTTGGGGACGGGGTGGAAGGTTTTGTTGTGCAGATGGGTGATTTTGTTGGAGCTCAGAATTAATTCCTTCAGCCTGCGGATGCCCTGAAACGCATCCTCATCCACGGAGCTGATGTAATTATGGTCAAGATAAAGCCATATGAGCTGATTGAGGCCCGCAAACTGATTTGATTTCAGCTTCTGGATGCTGTTGTACCGTAAGGATAAGCCTTGAGACCCTCCGGAAATGTTCTGAGGGATGTCTCTGAACGCATGGGACTCGCAGTACACGATCTTGCCATCACATCTGCAGTTCTTGGGGCAAGCTCGCTGAGCCCCTGTGAGCATCACAAGCAGCACGGTAGGAAGCAGCACTAACACCACACTCATGCCTCTCAGCTGCTTAATTAAATGGAAACCTACAATATTAAAAAGAAAACAAATGTGCATTGTAAAGCTATTAAAAGAAATTGCCAACAGATTACAGACGTCAGTGGGGTTTCTAATAAAGCATTAGTGAGGCAGTGGATGTGGAAGACAACCTGTTTGCCTCCTGTCTTGAGCTTTTGTTGCGTAAATGCCTGTCCTTTTTGAGTTTCTGGCTTGCCATCTCACCGTCACCAGTACTACTCTTGCTATTCAATTACTTCTGTGTGATTTATGATGCTTTAGAAGGACCCTTAGAGCCTGTTCTCTATTCATTTTCCTCCTGTACATCATCTCTCAATGTAGCTGGTATATCTTTACCGCTAGATGCTGAGGTTTTAACAATAAACATATTTGTCAAGTCACTGTGCTGAATGCTCCATAGTGCTGGAAAGGAAATGAACCAAAGATGCTGGTCTTTACATGCTGCTAAATGTGTTCCTTCTTAAAAGCAACTTACAGTCCAATGCCTTCAAAAATTACAGCAAAAAGTGAGAAATCTACTCATCAGGAAGTTTGATCCATCTTTAAAATGTATATTTATTGTAAAATTAGACCCTAAGTAAAGGCTTTCCTTTTTGCACTGGGTCATTTGTTTGTAGGAGTAGCTCTAAGGAGGTTACTCATCATTTTATGTACCTAAAATACATAAACAGATGCACAGAAACAGAAGTTCTACCATACACAGAAGTAAACCATGGAATGCTATTATGGGACCCAATATCAGGAGCATGGTAGAAGACATATTTCTATCAAACAAATCATAGCTTTAACACATATTCATTTCAAGTTGTCTACATGTAGCTGTGAATACCTAAGCATTTATTATTTTGTATATTTGTTATATACTCTATGAAACACAAATAACACTGCTTCAGAGCAGCAAAGCACAGAAAGTTTAAAGGGGTATATTCCTATTTCAAGTCTCCTTTCTCTTCCCCAGCTCTACTGATGGAAAGACTTTGCATTTGAGACGGCACATTTATCACACAGGAGCAATGCTGGTACGTGAGGACAGGCACATTTCCCCCATTCTTGGAATAAGGAGGAAAGGAGGTGGAGGGGTTGTCAGAACACCCAACATCCATTCGCACGCTCGCCTTTGCCTCTGATGATTTTAGGACTGGTGCCTCTGTCCAGAGTTGCAGCCTCGCTAAGACTGAAATGCATTCCTCTAACAGAAATATTTTAAGGGTGGTATCTCATCAATCAATAACTACTTTATTATTTGTCACACACACAAAAGCACCCCTGTGCTGCAGTTATTTAATCCCATTTGAAGCCAAGGGGCATTCTGCAAGATAATTCTTAATCTAAAATGCCCCCGACTATGCCACAGTCATACACGATACGTCTATTTATATGACTTTCACTTTAATGGCTAGCTTTTAAATTGAAATCCTCATCTCTTTGCTACTGCCTATGTGCCAGCAGCAGTCAGCTCAAAATCTGTTCTGGCTGCTCCAGACTTGGGGGCTGGGGGGGGGGGGGGGGGAACGAAGGAAGGAAGGAAATAAACCTGTCACACTTGAAAAAATAAGACTGGCAAATGCCTGCTGGAGACCTACAGCAACCTTAGGGGGATCTTTTCAAAGCCCAAACAAGCCTTTTCAAAACCATCTATAAAGAAAACCTATTCCCCCCCCCCCCCCTTCCCCTTTGCTTCCCACATACTGCAAAGTGTTAACGGTCCTTTCTGACAGCCTGAATAATAATACCAGCAGAAGCTCATTGAATAGGGATCTAAACCCAGCAGAAATGCTGTGTGAGCCTCATGCATACATGTACTTATCTAGACGAGTGCAGGTGTGTAGGTGGCTTGTGCAGGCAGCAAACGTCCTCTCTCCAGCCCTCAACTCGGTGCATGCATGTACAGACAAATTACATACAGAACCACTGCAGGAGGAAAGGTGTGTGTGTGTGAGGGGGGAATACATGATCTAAAAATACAATAGCAAGTACAGTGAGTCACCTGGCAAAGGAATGCACTGCTGCTGCTGCTTAGGCTGTTTCACCCTCCTGAACAGCTTAATAATCCAGCTGAAAAATAAACCATCCAGCTGCAGCTCTGCTACCAAACAAACAAGAAAAGTTCGCTTACCCATCCTTCTGTCATCCACAAACGTCCTCCTTTGCCTTTCTCCAGCTGTTTTCTTCTCTCTCTTCCCTTCTCTGCTCCCCCCTTTGCCTCTCTCTTTTGAAAACTGGTCTCTTTTCCTTAAACCATCAGAATCTTCATGTCACGGCACGGCTGCCACTCACATCACCTCCATCCAGCGTGCGTGCCAGAAACCCACACAAAGTTCCCTAGAGAGGACAAGCAAGAATTTTTGGGGATGAGGAAGGGAAAGGATAGGGAAGGGGTTGGGGGTGGGGAAGACAGGACGAAGGATGGAGAGGGGGGAGTGGGGGGGGTAGGGAGGGACTCTAAGCTCTGAGAGCCATTGTGTAAGTCATCAGAGAACCATCAGCATTAAGTGGCAATCTGCAAGGCAAAGCTATAGCAGGCGATGAAGGTAAACCAACTTCTCTGGGAGAAATGAAAAGCTCTTCCCCGGTACCTAGCATTTGTCATTCTGCTGCCTTTAGCCATTCCCAGGCACAGCATTCCATCCTCCGGCTCCCCAGCTCCCGAGCAAGGCAGGCCTCCCGTGCTGGGTAAGACCCCCGTTTAAAAGCTACGCAGGAGAGGTTTATCCATTTAGCTGCTCAGGTTTAAAGTGTTTTGTAGCTGTGCTGAGAAGCAGCTCTTGTCTAATTCAGAAGGCTTTCCAGAGAGTGATGATGCTTTGGAGCTTGTTGGTGCTAATGTTCTAGTTTGTGATACACTGAGTGCCCTCCACTGGAGAAAACAGATCGCACATTAAAGGCATGAACAAGTGATCCTGTCATTGCTATGCAGACTTTCTTCCTTTGGAAGAGAAAATTAAAGACACAGCATTGCCTTGCCCATCATTATCCCCTCCTGTACCCCTCTGCCCTCCCTAGATTATTATGTGGTTATATTGAGGATTTTCTGGCAGAGAGTGGAAAACACTGAACAAAACTCCTGCTCCCTGGGTATTTGGCAACCTGCTCTTTTTCTAACCCACCTGACCTGTATGTTTTTCTTAGGCTAATTCTGAACTGTTTTGCTTTTCCTCTATGCACAGGGTGAGGCCAGGAGACGAATTAAAAGTGTAAGCAGTGTTAAAGGGTTGAAGCGCACAGACTGATCACACCAAAGGCACTGAACTGCACCCATCAAACCCAGCGCAAACATACTGAAAACAGCAGTCTAAGTGTCTGAGTCTGATAAACAACCCAGAACTGAAGCTGCAGAACTAGTGACACCTTTTTTCTCTAAGCCCCAGCTCTCCCCCATTCAGAAACAGTGATTTCTCGCAGCCACGATGCTGGCCTGGACCTCAGCAGACTTCACCCACAGCCTGAGCGGTGTGATCTAGGGTATGACACTGACACCCTCTCACCCCCTGCTATTTCGTTGGATCACTCAGGCTTGAATCAATGCTCACCCAGTTCAATGGGAAGAAGTCAAGGGGATCTGGAGTAAGCATGGTACCACACAGAGCTCCTCTGAGCTGGTTCGGATTAGTCCTGGTTACCAGCCTCAGCAAAGCTTCACAGACACAAAGGGACCATTTTGGGTTTCAAAGCAAATCTGGGCTTCTCCAAGGGCAGCACCACCTTGCTGCTGAGCATTCCTAACCTGCCTTCCTAGAGCTCATCTATCTGTGCTGTCTGTCCAGCTGCTCCCTCCTTTCCCTGGGCCACACAGACATCAGATGCGCCAAAAACAACTCCGTACCCAAACCTTGAGTTTAGATGCCAAAATGGTGGCAGTGCTTTTTAGGAAATGCGTCAGGAGCTAACCATGATGACTTAGTTATTTTAGTACTTCCCACTCTGACTCAAGAGCACCATGCTGTTGTGAGACCTCACCTAGAGTACTGTGTGCAGTTCTGGTGTCCTCAACATAAAAAGGACATGGAACTGTTGGAACAAGTCCAGAGGAGGCCACGAGGATGATCAGGGACTGGAGCATCTCCTGTATGAAGACAGGCTGAGCAAGTTGGGGCTGTTCAGCCTGGAGAAGAGAAGGCTGCACGGAAACCTCACAGCAACCTCCCAGTATCTGAAGGGGGCCTATAGGGATGCTGGGGAGGGACTCTTCAGCAGGGACTTGTAGGGATAGGACATAGGGTGATGGGTTCAAACAGAAACAGGGGAAGTTTAGATTGGATCTAAGGAAGAAGTTCTTTCCTGTTAGGGTGGTGAGGCACTGGAATGGGTTGCCCAGGGAGGTTGTGAATGCTCCATCCCTGGCAGTGTTCAAGGCCAGGTTGGACAGAGCCTTGGGTGCCATGGTTTAGTGGGAGGTGTCCCTGCTCATGGCAGGGGGGTTGGAACTGGATGATCTTAAGGTCCTTTCCAACCCTAACTATTCTATGATTCTATGCTCAGCATGTTACAGCCCATACCCCTAAGGTTTCTGTGTACTACTACTTCTCATTCTATTCTAGAACAAAAATGAAACTTGTGTGAATCTCAAGGTCAGATTTTGGCCTCTTTTGGTTTATATATTCCTTGTTCCTGGCTCAGATCAACAGACCATTTCCTGCCCCTGCAATCCACCCCAACTGCAGTCAGCCCTGCCCAGGCTAAGTACCCTGATCTTGATCAGGGATCTCCACTGGAGTGAAAAGACTGGGACACAGAATGGGCCAAGTAGTTCAACTCCATTAATAAAACAATAAAATCCACAAAACAAGCCACAGAAGCCAACTTTTCATCTCCTGAATCTGCATCCAACTGCAACAGCTTAAAGCTTCTGATTAAAATAAAATGGGTTTCTTTGTCCCCTAATGAGACTCTGTTGCTATCTATAGATCAGAGATTGATCTATGTGAGAAAAATACCATAATTAATCACTATTTTCACTCTGAAGTGGCCTGCAATACACACACCTCTCTTAACAAGATGCAGCATTTCATTACCATAAATGATGTTGAAAGCGCTTTTTTCCATCTCTCGACTAACTACCTCTGCATTCCAGTCAGTCCCATATTTATTCATGCTATAATTCCCTAATAAAGGTAAAAGCTAAAGTATGCAGTTATTACACCTGCCATTGATAATTCTCCAGGAAGAGTCCATTTGAAATTCTGCCAGATCCAAGAGTGATGTCAAAAGAAGCTCTTCCCATTTCCAGGGGAAGTCTTTTCCCAGCTCCTTTGATCCTTCACAAGCTGAAGCAGCGCTGTCATGAGCTGTCCTACTGCCACCTGCTCTCCGAGCCTCAACAACCCAACGTTCCTACTCAAAGCTTTAAATAATTTTGTTTTCATAAAACCCCTGTGATACTGTACAGGAAAATGTCAGAAATTCCCAACTGGAAAACTTCAGCCCTAAACCCAGCAGCATGAACGTGCATTTGCCGTCCCCCTTTTGTAAGTTTTCTACTAAAATAGAAAATAAAACTACCTGAATATTTGCCAAGAGGAAGAAATGGGGAAGTTTTAATCAGTGACTTTAAAACAGAAAAACCTCATGGACAAAAGGAGGATGAAAAAGCCCACTTGTGGTTTTGCTCTGTTTCCTTCATGCAGCAAGAGGCAGAAGACCCCTACCCGAGACACCCGAAATGTTCTGAACACTCACTTGGTCCTCATCCAACTGGCAAATTTTCCCACCACCTGACCAAGAGTTCCTTGGGTACATTATCCATACTAATAAGCTGTGTGTCATGGGATCTATAGTTTCTCTTCCAGGACAATGGAACTGCACATGTCTCATTAAGGTGTTGATCAATAGAAACAGTTACATGGTATGCTGGCACTGCAGAACACAACAAGAGCCCTCATAAACTGCCTGTAAGGAAGAGAAGGACATATCCACATATCCACATATTCCTCTAGTACCAACTGGTGGGATAACTGGAGATTTACAGCCCTGAATAACTTCTCCTAATAGCATCAGCAGTAGAACTACTGCTGGAAGGAAGGGAGCTGATGCTCTTTGACCGGTTTCCTGCCCATGGAGACCTCGCAGGTTTGTACTGCCCTGCACACTCTACTCAAAATGCTCCTTAGTGAGAAAGACATGAGGAAAATAAGCAAACTTCAGAGGTGCTTGGGCCTACCCAAGGTATTGCAGTGTTCAAACATCCAGGTTTACAAAGCTCAGGACTCAGGGTGCAAACAGCACTTTATATTTCCCTTTGATCTACTCAGCCATTAGATTGTATTCCAGTTGTATTTTCAAGGCTTTACAAAATCATTTAGACTCCCTGGCTAGATTTAGAGGCTTCAGGCACACAAAGAACAACTGCAGTCATCCAGGCAGGATGTAAAACAAGAATCCTCCCTAAAATATTTCCACAGCAGACCCATAATTTCTGCAATGACATCAATTCCATAAAGATGAGTGGCCTTTATCTGAAATCCACAAAGGATGGAGGAGCCACCCCGTTCCTGGGCGAGCTGCTGCTGTGTGTAACAATCCAAGTGACACGAATCAAAGCTCTTGGGAAGCATCTGTGTCCAGCATGAGCCCAACATCAGTGTCTCTCCCCCCCAACCAATGTCAGTCTTACATCAGTCACAACAGTCACACACAAGCCTTTGCTCCCACTGTGCAACCAAAGACACGGCCCTCATACAGCATCTAGGAGACCTCTTGCTCTTCAGTGTATCTGCAAAGGTTGAACTAACTCAAAGCATTAATTCAGGTTGTCTTGGCTGTGGTGAATCCCAGCTTCAGTCATGCATCTCACCCAGGACAGCAGAAAACACTCCAGGACAAGCTGGACACTGCACCAGCCCAAATAGTGGGTTTAGAGGCTCTCCAGCTTTTTTCAAACCATTATTCTCACCAGGATTCATTTCTTCTTCATGGAATTAAGGTTTTACTTAATTCTTTCTCAGACATGTAGTAACTTTTATTTATACATTATCTGCTTAGTGAGAAATATCTAATCTCAGCTTCATTGCTTTTAAAGCCTCTAATATAGCCTTAGACAACTCAATCCAAAAATAAGCAGGCAGCCCAACAATACAGACATTGCATATCCTAAGATTAACGAGAACACAGCTCCTCCTCAAATGCAAGCCCTGCTTTTCTATCCAATGCCAAACCCTTAGTTTACAAGTCTAACTAACAGTTTGCAGGATCATGTATCAGAATTGGCTGGCAGCAGGACAGAGCCAAAAGACACTTAAGATGTTTACTGCTGTCAACTTTTGGGAGTCTGAAGCAAAAAGATGGTTGCAACCACAACAGCTCAACCACCCTCCATGTATGGAGTGTGTGGTGCACTGGGTAAAGTGAGAAACAAAATGCTGCTGCTGATTTTCTGGAGTACGTAGAAGCCCATCTGTGATTCCCAAGTGAAGCACAGAGCTATTTAATTAAAATAACAAGAAGAGAACATTCCAGATGGATAATTATTCAACACAGGATTGACTAGAGACTGTTAGAGGTACAAAGTCATGTCCATGTTATTAGGAACTGCACCTTTAAACAAAATTCTTCCCAGTTCTGGGATTCATGGTGGGGAGGTGCCCATTATGGATCCCTATCAGTGTTCAAGGCCAGGTTGGACACAGGGGCTTGGAGCAAGCTGCCCTAGTGGAAGGTGTCCCTGCCTGTGGCTGGGGGTTGGAACTGGACGAGCTTTAAGGTCCCTTCCAGTCCAAACCTTGTTCTTTTCCTGCAATGGTTTGCCCTCTTTGGCCTCAGCTACACCCACATCACTCACTCTTTCCAACCACTTAGCATTATTTCCAATGGAAAGTATTGACACCTCCAATCGGCTTGCTCAGCT